ATCCATTAGAATAATGTCAGAGACTGCCTCTGGAACACTTGTTCAAATGCAAGTTCAAGTTGAAGTAAGTTCAAACTGAAAATTAAAACAAGGCCACAAGAACAAAAGTATGATCTTGAATGCATTCTATCTAAATTTATAAATCATCTCAAGAATAGATTTGAGGAATTGAACACTAATGACTGAAGAACAGATGAGTTGTATGATGATGACATACATGAATAAGGCAAACTAATGTGAAAAATGATTGAAAAGAACAAACATGTCAGAAAGGATGCCAGCAATGACTCAAATTTCCTCTAGAATATAGAGAGGCTAAAATGTAAGGAAAAAAGAAAATAAGAGAACTGTGCAGCAGATTTCAAAGACTAGCTTTAGAAGACAAAGCAAAATATTTAGTGAAATATGCAAAGATCTGGAGTTAGAAAACCAATAGGGAAGAACACAGTGTTTCAGCCTTGGATTGCAATAGTGAAAGATTTTATGGACAAAATACTGAATAATTCAAGTGGCATCAAAAGATGGGATGAGTGTATGAAACACAATGTAAATGAAAGATTGTATAAATGCAATGTATATGAATGAAACATAATATAAAGGAATTATTATATGAAAACAAATAAAATATTTGTTTAAAAAAGATGGAAGGAATATATAGTTATTGTACCAAATAAAATTGATTCAACACTCAGCCATTACAGAAGTTATAAAGAAGTCCAAGTTTCACTGAAGGATTGGGAAAAAACAAGCCTTCAGGAATTGGTGAAATACTAAGTTAAGTGTTCCAACAAATATATGTAATGCTGAATGTGTTCACTCACCTATACCAAGAAAAGAAATTTTGATGAGAGCTACCTAGTCAGCTGACTAAAAGAGATCCAAATTCCCTTTTCAAAGAATGGTGATCCAAGAAAACATGAAAATGATAGAACAGTGTCATTAATATCACACACAAGTAAAATATTGTGAAAGATAATTAGAAAACAACCAGAGCAGTACATCAATAGGGAATTACTGACAATTCAGCCAGGATTCAGAATTAAAAACATTGTAACTGTTGACATCAAATATACTTGTGTTTTATTAACTATACAAAGTCATTTTACTGTGCAGGTCACAATGAATTCTGGAGATCATTATGAAGAATAGGGTTTCCTGAACACTTAATTGTACTCTTGCAGAATATGAGAAATACCTTCAGTTTCTACATTAGTGGAAAGCAAAGGAGAAGAAATTGTGTTTTGAGTCAGCAGATCAACAGTGTGTTTGCCATGTTCTTTATTAGAATTGTTGGAAGCATTCTATGAGACAATGTAATTTGAAAGTTTTGTGGTATAATTTAAATAAATGTAAAGTATATTATTTTATTGGATAATTTGAAAAACTAAACTGTATATTTGAATTAGTTTATTATAATTGTGTAGTCAAGCTTCAGGAAAACCTATAAAAATATTTACTGGCTTTTGTTAAGTATTTTCACTTTAGAAACTGGTGTATAAATATGTTTAGACATAAAGACAACATATTTCCAACCAGCTCCCATTTTCGTCTAAGAATTAATGAGGGCCTTTTCCACATCTGGCTAGTTTGTGTACCATACATCCTAACCCTCATAATTATGGGTTTGTTTTCTCTCTCCTTTAAAGAAATACTCTTTATTTTTTAGAGCACATTTAAGTTTACAGAATATTCTGTGCAGAAAGTACAGAGTGTTCTAATTCAGTGTCTTCTCCTTACACACGCACTCAACACTGGTTTCTCTTGTTAATGTCTTACATTCTTGTGGTACATTTGTTGCAAATAATGAGTCAATATTGATATAGTATTATTAACTAAAGGCCACAGTTTACATTAGGTTTTACTCTGTGATGCTCATTTCAGTGGATTTTGATAAATGCTTATTATGTCTTACATCTACCATTATTGTTGTTGTTGTTGTAAAGTGCTGTCGAGTTGCAGGTGACCCTATGAAGGAGAGTCCTCGACTCTTGGGTGCCTTTCAACCTCTCTCCAGGTCCATAGGTCTACCATTATAGTAATGATATTACTATATTACTCTGTGTATTCTACTTAACTCATCTCACCTCTGACCCTTGACAACCACTTACATTTTCATTGATGCTGTAGTTTTGTTTTTTCCAGAAAGCCACATAATTGGATTAATAGTGTATATTGTTGTTATTGTATATTGTATATTGTATATTGTCGAGTCAGAACCGACCCAGAGTAGACTCTCCAGTGAGTTTTCAGAGGTAGTTAATTGCACGGGAGGAGATTGTCCATCCTTCTTCAGTGGAGCTGATGGCCTCAAACCACTAAGCTTCTTTCCACTAGGCCACCAGAGCTCCCTCATAGTATATAGTTTTTAAAAACTGAAACTCATTGCCATTGAGTTGGAACTGGCTCATAGTTGACTCTCTAGTGGGTTTTCTGGGGATGTAAATCCAATGAGAGATATCTCATCTTTCTGTTACAGAGATATCGGTGGATTTGAACTGCCAGAAAGGTGAGGCTTTGCCTTAGCAGTGAATCTCTCTATGTACTATACCACCAGAGCTCCCTGTGCAGCTTTTTCTAACTGTTTAAATGTAACTTAACCGTATGCTTTTAAGATTTTGCAACAATTACCATTACTTATTTGCAAAACTTTTTTATTACCCCAAACAGGGAGCTATGGTGGTCTAGTAGTGGAAGCTGCATTGCAATCCTGAAAGCATGTGGTTCAAATCCACCAGCTGTTCCACAAGAGAAGATGAGCAGTCTCCTCCCATGTGGTTAACTGCCTCTGAAAAACTGCTGGAGGGTTGGCTATGGATTGGCTCAAACTCTATGATACACAGCAGCAACAACAATAACCTCAAATAGGAAGCCTGCATCTATTAAGCACCAACTCTCCACTCTTCCCTGTCCCTACCCCCTGGCAACCACTAATCTACTTCTTATAGAAGTGGAACCACACAATGTTTGCCTTTATTTGTCCTTTTTAAACTGTCTTATTTTACTTTGTATTATATTTTTAAGATTAATTTATGCCATTTCAGCTTTTTTTTAGAGCCTGAAGATTACTTGTCCAACTTGTTGTTCCAGTCTTCATGTTACATGCCTTTTATTCTATAGTATTCAAGTGTCATTTAATTTTGCTTAAGGAGCCAGTTATTGGTGTCATCAACCTGACCATTAATTATTTTCTCTTCCAAAGAAAAACGTTGATCTAAACAGTGACTGAATGGTTATTTTTAAACTCTTTCTACTAAACTCTTGGTTATATGCCTAGAGCTTGAAAGTTTCTGGAGTTGCCATCCATATTGCTGTTGACAGTATCATTCCCCCCCCCATAAGAATCACCTGAATTCTGTTCTAATTTATAAAATTAATGAACTTTATGGTATGAAAGCTCCTTGTTAACACCCTGGAGGACATTATGCTGAGTGAAGTATCTCAGTCACAAAAGGACAAATACTGCATGGTGCCACTGTTGTAAAACAGGACTGACCTCGGGGTTGGGGGGAGACTGAGAAAGATGGGTTCAGTAATGTATACTGCATTGAAACAGATGAGGGAAAAAACGGTTTGAAAGAGATATGTTATTAGGTATTTTTGTCATGACAGGAGTTCAGAGTAAAGGCTGCGTAGTGGAGTAGACCTGGGGGGAGGGATTGCAAAACAATGAAAGAATTTTTTCTTGTTTTACTTTTCCAAGAGGGTAGTGTATTAAGTAAGAGGGTTGGGAGGGGATAAAAGCGCAACAATGAATGAATGGAAATCCAAAGTCTTTGTAAATTTTCATTGAAATTAATAATAAATTAAAAAAATATAAAAAATAAAACATTATAGATGATTTTTTTCCCTCCTGGAGAGTATATATGTTTTGAGTAAAGTAATACTAAAGAATAAAAAGCAGTCAGTTGTTAATGGGAAAATAGTAAAGATTCAGATTTTCAAAGCAACTCTAACTTTCCTCTTGTTAATATTTTTTTCAAAAAAGTCACTACCATCATGTTGATTCCAACTCGTTGTGATGCTCCATTGGGTTTCTGAGTAAACTGTCAATCTTAACAAGAGGTCATTTTCCTACAGAGCTGCTGGTCGAGTCAAATTGCTGGAAATGTATGACTTTTTTTCTGTTTAGCCAAACAAACAGTATGCTACAGACGACAAAAGTAGAATGAACTAAGATGAAGCCTTTTTCCTAGAGGAACATGGGAACTAGAGGAAACCACAGCTAATGGGGGTGTGGGGGGTTAATCATGGGGTCACACAATTTGATGAGTGGAGGAGAGTATGGCAATGGGAAGGAACTGGGAAATGGGAAAAACAATGCATTTGAATTTTGTAAATAAACTAGTATAATAAAAAAGGATTGAAAGGTGAATTTGAAAATATGTTAAATATTTTGGTATGCATTGTGGAGCAATCATCTGATCCTTTAGCATTAGGTAGAGGAAAGGAACTTTGTAGTCACAAGTGTTCAGACAAATTATTTTTTTCCCCGTGGAGAAAGGTGAAAGAAAAGGCCCTAGGAGGTAAATAAATCTTGGAGGTGGGCTGTGAAAGACTGAAAGAGTGAGAATCTTAAACCAGAAAGGGCTAAGAGACAAACAAAAAATTCCTAATGAATTTTTAAATGACCAATATATATAATAGAATTAAGGGGCTGTTGGTGGTATGGTGCAAATGGGTTGGGCCACTAACAGAAAGGTTGGCAGTTTGAATCTACCAGTTCCTTTGCTGGAGAAAGATGTGGCAATATGCTTCTGTAAATATTTACTGCCTCAGAAGCTAGGTAGAAGGTCACTGTGTATCAGAGAATTGACTCTATAGAAGTAGGCTTTTTTTTTTTTTAAAAAAAAAGTAAAATTGGAGATCCTTCAGGTTTATTACCCAAGAATCTCTTCAGTCAAATGAAAGTGCTGATAGTTCCTTTTGTCATTCTTTTGGGTGAAACAAGACTTTGATAATATTTTGTTTGTTTTTGCTTCCTTCTTTCTTTCTTTTTGTAGACATTGTTCGAAGTGATGTTGCCTTGGATAAACAGAAAGGCTGCAAGATTGCCCAGCACCCTGATATTATGTTGGAGCTCCAAAGAGAGAAGGCAGCTCAGATGCATCTGGTTCTTCTGAAGGAGCAATTCTCTAATACTTACAGTAATCTGATATTAACAGGTAAGACTACTAGAGTCTGCTGAAATCTTAGAACTCCATAGATTGATGGCCTTTATCAGTTTGATGCTTGAAAGACTCTAGAGGGAGATCCAAAGGAACCCATCCCTTTCTATTTTCACTCAATATATATGCTTATTTAATTGTGATGACTCTTATCTTTCTATAACAAATATTTCTTCTAGTTTGCAGATGTATTTTGGCTTAAGGGTATGAACAGTTCACATGTGTGTTCCCAAACGACAGACCCAATGAAAACCTAATGAAGTCTGGCAAAAATATGACTTTCTAGATCTGTGCCAATAGATTTGAGAGAATTGCTAAATTTGGTATCTTTTAAGATGCAGCTATTTTCCTCTTTCTGTTTATGCCCTTTCTATGAACCCAGTAAATATAAAGATGAAATGTAAAAAAAGATAATGATCCAGGCAGAGCTGAGAAAATTCTATTCCTGATTGAGTGTGAAACTGTCTAGAGTATGTGATTTTCTTTTTAAGAGTGCAGAGGCTGTGAGACTGAGCCATACTCCCTCACATACTTGGGTATAGGGGGAGCATGTGTGAGAGTCCCAAGAAGGAGCAGGCTTGGTTTTTTCCCCCTCTTTGAGAGCATGTGAGTTCAGGCTGTGAAAAAGAATAGTAGCAGGTAGCATAGTGGAGTGGACTTGGAGGCAGGGATTGAATAACAATGAAAGAATTTTTCTTTTACTTTTCAAAAAGAAAAGTGAATTGGGGGCAGTGGGCAGAGGGAAAAGTGTAACAATAAATGGAAATCCAAAGTTTCTGTAAACTTTCATTAAAATAAAATTTTTAAAAAATATTATCCTAAGCAAATGAAGCCAGACCCCCCTAAAAAATTATTAAGGATTTTGAATGCATTAAGAAAAGTAGTCCAAGCTACTTCCATTTTCTTAAGGGCATGTAAGATAGGTCTTACATTGTATTGATCTAAATAAAGTTTAGCAAATGGTAAGTTTGTTTTTTGCCTTATTTATGAATATTAAAAAAGATAAAAGATGCAAAATCTGACATATTATGAACAATTCAGTTATATTTTCATACTTCAAATTAGGAAAATTTTACCTTTATTTTCCCTAAACAGACTTTTTGGCATTTCACTAGAAGTTGCTGAGTGGCAACCAAATTATTTTGCTTTTGGAAAAACAGGACTTTTTCCAATTTTTAATTTGTACCTGGTAGAAAATCTAACACTATGAGGTGAAAGCCAAATTTAAATGTGACTTTTGTGAGCAGAGAAGACGATTACAGATTTCATAAATATGGACCCTGGGTTTTGCTCTTTGATAGGTCTTTAAGGAGGGAACAGTTGAAAGTGATTTATGCCAACACATGCATTTTCCTAAACTGCTTTGTGAAACTGGGTTTATATTTTCGATGTTTGAGAGTAATATACATTTCTCTACAAATGAATGCAGTCAACCTTGCACTTATATATGTACATATGTTTAGTATTTTTAGTTCAATTATTAGAAATAAGATTTTTTAAAAAAATTTCTTCCTTATTCTAATATTGCTAAGGCATATATTAAAAGAGTTGGATCTCTGTTCTTTAACATGGCATGGCTCGAAGGCATATTATCTTTGAAAATACAAGTGTTCTATTGAGTTCAATGGAATCTTTTCTAATTCTCAGTAACATAATCCCTTTGGATGTTTATTCCTAGTTCAAACTGTTGGAATCAACATTGTCAACTTTTACCCTGACAACTTGCTTACTTTCCACTAAACAAACTTACCCTACAGAAGAGCCTCTTTCCTGCTCTTACTTCTCCCAAACTGCTTCAAAGAGTCATGAGACATTTTCCACATTTTTCACCTAAATGCCCTTGCAGAGGTGGTACCTTGCAGTCTATAGAGCATTTGGTGTGCTGTGGGTTGTTTACATTAAAGTTCAAAAGGTTTTGGTTCCAGGTGCTAGGAAGAGATGAAGTCACTTCAGCTTAGCACCAATGGTAAAACTATTTTAATGTCCTTTAAGTAAGACTTTGATTTTACACTGTGTGGTTTTCTAATTGTTATGAAGTTTAATCCTTGATTTCTTATATAACTCTTGAGAACATGGTCTCCAGACAGCTAAACATAATATTTAAACATAACTAAACTAACTTTTGTAAATATTTCCCTTTTCAGTGATGAATGTATATTGGTAAGGAGAGGAAGGTTGAAGGGGCAGAGACCTCTCAAATTAAGTGAATTTCTTTACCAGCACATTCAGAACACCTACTCTAGGATTTCTGTTTGATGATGTTCTACTTATTTTGTATAACTCTTATATATTGTTTGACATATCAGCCATGGAAGTATTTAAGTGAGAGAATAAGGAAACTGGACCTCCAAAATTTTAGAAGTATTTTTTCACTGCCTCCAATTATTTGTAGAATTTCATGTTTATGTATATATAACAGTGTGTCATAACTTTTTTGTCAGCTAGGTTCATTCTCTAATTTTAAGATAAGACAAATAAGAATAGTAAAAAACTAATAAAGTGATTGAAATGTCAGTATAATAAAAATAATAGAGTAATTGAAATGTCAGATTGTTAAGATATGTTTAAAATGGTAGTTATTGTCCCCTATTTTAAAAGTCCTAATTCTTAGGTATTACATCTTTAGTTGATGTATTGACTCCTGGCAGAGAGGCAAGCATTCTAGCTGATGACATGTTTTGAACAGCTACTCCTCAGAGGAGGAAAAATTATATTCTATGAGGATCTTCTATTTAATAAAAAATAATTTTACAGTACTTATAGTGACAGACCATTAGTGAACATTAATCTAATTCTTTAGTGCATGTATTTGGTTGAAATGTTCCTAATTAAGTCCTAATTTTAGGAAATTGGGTTGTTTTTATGTATTATTTATGTGGCTTTGACTTTCTTCATGTTTTCATGTGATGAATGACTTACATGACTTTGGAAATAATGTGAACCTGACATAGGCTAGTGGGTTTTTAAAGTAAATGCTAAGGTTACAAGAGATTTTTCCAGTATGACATTGGCAAAATAATTATTTTTATTCCCCCCCTGTTTTTTTGAACAGAATTATTTTAAATGAGCATAAATCATTTCGCTCTTTCTCTACACTTATTTTTCATACATTATTACTTATTTACAATTTACACTTTATTTATTTACACTTACTTACAATCATGTGCATATATGTGTATTTTGCAGCTTCTTGAGTATGAATATGTCAGTCATTGTACGTAACAGTTAGTATCTTGTTCTCAAGGGATGCCAAATGAGAGGGAGACTTGGGTAGGAGTTTTTATGAAAGAATATACATCAAGTCTTAAATGTCTTTGTGCTCACATTCACTCACTCATTACTAACAAGATGGTATTGATTTATAGACATATATATAAAATAATATATATTTATTTTATAAATACTATAATAAAATATATTTAATACTATAATAAAATGAAAAGCATAATAAAAATTGCCAATACTTTAATGTAAAGGCTTCATTATTTTTTAAGTCTTCTTTCAATCATTGCCCAACTTTCAGGTGCATAGCAAGCAACTGAAAATACTATGGCTTGGATCAGGTGCACCTTAGCTTTGTAACTGATATCCTTGCTCTTTAGCTCTTTGGAGGGGTTCTTGACAGCAGATTATCCGAATGCATGACATATTTTTTAATAAAGTCCCCCCCTTTTATTTATTCATTGTTGCTCATTTTCTCTCCCCTCTCCTTCCCCTCCCCCAGCCCACCACTGATTCCAGATTTTATATATATAATATATAATATATAATATATAATATATAATATATAATATATAATATATAATATATAATATATAATATATAATATATAATATATAATATATAACATATAATATATAATAATATATTCCTCTCAGACACTTCTTTCCTTCATCTGTTCTAATGGAGTATTCAGCATCTAACCACTCTTTCCCTATTTCTTTTCTAATTCTCCTATGTCTGTCCTATTTTATAACAGTCCTGTTATACAATATTTATCTTTTTATGACTGATATATTTTATTTAGCATAATGTCCTCAAGGATCCTCCATGTTGAGTAATGTCTTACTATTTCATGGGTTTTTAATGCTGTATAGTATTCCATTGTGTGAATGTACCATAGTTTTTCTATTAATTCATTTATTGATGGGCACTTGGGTTACTTCCATTTCTTTGCTATTGTGAATAATGCAGCAATAACTATGAGTGTCCATACATCTGTTTGAGTTGTGGTTCTAGTTTCTTTAGGGTATATTCCAAGTTGTAAAATTGCTGGTTCAAATGGTACTTCTATTTCCAACTTTTTGAGAAAGTACTAGACCACCTTCCATAGTGGTTGTACCATTTTACATTCTCATCAGCAGTGAATAAGAGTTCCAATCCCTCCACAGCCTTGCCAGCATTTGCTATTGAACTTTGCTATAGTTACAGGGTGAGATGATCTCTTATAGTTGTTTTGACTTACATCTTTCTGATAGCTGGGGACTTTTTTATTTTTTTGACTGCTGTTCCCATGGGCGTTGGTTGTAGATACAAATAAAATGGAACTGTTGGTAACTTCAATCATTATCTATCATGCAGTTGCTTATTGCTCCAGTGGTGAGGATTTCTGCTTTCTTCGTGATGAGATGTAACTCATGTTAAAGGCCACAATCTTTCATCTTTTACAGCAAGTGTTTTAAGTCCTCTTCACTTTCAGCAAGCAAAGTTATGTCATCTGCATAATTCAGGTTGTTAATGAGTATTCCTCCAGTCCTATATTGTTTTCAATATAGTCCATTTTGTTAAATTATTTGCTCAGCATACTGATTGAATAGATATGGAGAAAGGATGCATCTCTGCCACACTGGCACATAACTTTCTGGATTTTAAACCATACAGCGCTCCTTTTATCTGTTGGAACAATTGCTTCTTGCTCTATGTATAAGTTTAGCATCAGCACAATTAAATGTTCTGGGATTTCCATTCTTCTCAATATTACCCATAACTTATGATCT